TCGGTCCGTGCAAATTGAATGCTGACAGGAGGAGAGTTCAGCTTCACTGGAGATGCGCGATCGACAAACTTTAAACCTAAGTTAGTGATTTCAAAATATGCTGCGCTTTATGCATTTGCCCACTGTCATATTCATGTCATTTTCATTGCGTGCTCTATGTAAAATGAGTGTTATCTTGGCTTTATTTGAAAAAACAAAAAAAATGATTCCCAATGCACACAAACTTCCCAGCCATTTTCAAATGATTTCAAATTTCTTAAATATAAATTAAAATAAATAAAATTATATCGGCCATCGGCCTCCCTGCTTTCCAAGATATCGGCATCGGCTGTCAAAAAACCCATATCGGTCGACCACTAATTGAGAATTTGTTATTGATATGGTCTAGTGGAAACAATAATATGGGCTGCGAGAAAATAATAAATAAAAAGAGATCGCGACACGAGTAAACGAGTATTTTAAAGTTTTTTTTTATATATAATTTTCTAAAAATTTTATTTTAGTAAACGAGTAAAACATTGTTGTTTATTTACTTAGCACTGAGTCTCTCCAACTAGGTGTCAACGTAGCGTTAAATCACCATTCAACAGACAGACTCAAGCCACCACCGCACTGCAGACTGCAGAAAGATACTAACTTTTCAATCTGCTACGTTACTGACTGTACTGACAAACTATGCTGACACTGTGTCTGCGCCGCAACAGGACACGACAAAGCGATCATTGAAAATCATTTGAACTTTGTGTCAGCACGTCATAAATAGAACGAGGCATCAGTTTACTGCATCCAGTGTAGACAACATCACTGATTATAATGGGTTCTATTCTACACCGGACGCGAGCGGCGCGATGCGACAAAATACCATAGAATTTTATTGTATTTTGTCGCGCGATGTGATGTGACCGATGTGATAAGAATGAGTTCTGAGCCGCAGCGCGGCCGGTATAAACACCAGCATTGACTGAGTAGCCGCAATCAGCTCCAGTGGCCGTAACACAGGCTTTAATGCGCCGCAGACGCGTGCTGTGATGCGCAGATCAGCTCTAGTCTCTAACGTCACTGCTGTTAAAAATTAACCATCCATTCATCATATCATCATGCAAAACTAAGAATTAGAATCATTGTAATGTGACGATCAAATATAGGTGCGGGCGGATAATTTGAAACAGCATACTCGGGTGATGTTTGAGCTCATCCACGCATCTCTACACTACACTGACCTGGGTTGCCAGTAGCAAACAATGGAGCGCGCTCTGCTGGACAAACTAAGTAATTACACCATTCAGAAGCATTTAATCTGTGTTATATGTTCTGTAAAAAAAAATTCATATCAGCGGCATATTCGCCGATACGATATATCTGCGACAGGCTCATACTGGCCGATAATATCGGCAAAACGATATATTGGTCGGACTATAATATGTATATAGGGATGGGTACCGAAACCCGGTATTTAATCGGTCCCGGGACTAAATTATGAAATTATGAATTATGAGTATCGATAAGCTCTGACGTTAACGGTTTTGCTATCGGTACTGGAAAAATTAATAAAACACATACATTTATTATTGCTATATATACATTATCTTGCAAATTCTATCTCACCAGAGTCGCCAGCTGTTTTTCAAACATTTGTCTATGATGCATTTTTGCTATTCGTAATTCAGAAGCGAGATCGCGCTCACGCGGAGGAGCTTCAGCACGCGCAACATGAAAGCCCTGTTTAATTATGATAGAGGAGAGAACTAAACATTCAAACATCTGCTTACACTTTAGGCCTGTGGCGGTTTTATTAAGCTAATTAGATTTTTTTTATTTCGATTTTGGCTTCTAAGGATTATACAAAAGAAGACATGAAGACATGAAGCTATTAAAAACTAGCTGCGTTTCGTATTGCGCAACTTCTTTCCCTTCACAGCGGTGCGCATTCGTTCCTCCCTAAAACCCAAACTTAACATATATATATATATATATATATATATACAGTATATATAATTTATATATTTATTATTATTACTACTATTATTATTTATTTTATTTCTTTTGATTTTAAAATCAAATATAATATAACCCCGGACTCCATTCCAATATTATATATTTTTAAATGTATTATTTTATTTTTTATTTATATATGTATGTATTTATAATAATACATAATTTTATATATATATTATATATAATTATATAATTTATATATTTTTTATTATTACAACTATTATTATTATTATTATTTCTTTTGATTATTTCTTTTGATTTTAAAATCAAATATAACCCCATTCCATTCCCTTCATCCTCTGTCAGTCTTTATTCTGCCCACCCTTTAACAAACTCTCAGCCGTGCTGTAAACAGGTGAGGGGAGGTGAAAACCTGTCCTTCCCTCTCTCTCATTAGTTGACTAATGACGCCTTTAATTAGCCCTGACACACGCTGTTAATTGAATGCACCTTATTACAACAGCCTGTCAGAGACATTTTCACAGTTACCGACTGATGTTGCCACGGCATGAATTCCACGGATCTGTTCATTCAAGACTTGACAGGAAATAAAACTGCTTAATATTCTGCTCATTTAGCCGGTTTATGACGGGCTTGTGCAGCAAAACTACACTTCCCATAATTCTGTATGGCAGAAAACTCATTCTGGAGTCAGTTTGGACCAGATTAGATGCTTTTAAGTGTCTCTGGTCCAGAGTTTCAGCCCTGTTTTGCATCTCAAGAGTCTGTTCATATACTCCATCATGTGACTGGAACGCCGTCTTCATATGACTTGTTAATTCGATTTGCTGTTGAGCTTTGAAGAGTGTGCTGTGCTGAGTAAGATACTTTCCTGCGCTTCTTAATCTGTCTCAGCTCTGTAAACACTTCACACAAGGTTATTCCTTCACTCAAGGACTCTTCTTAGAGTCTTCTTGACAAAATACACATTATACGCCCTCCTCCACTGTCCTCAGTCAAGCTTAACCTTCAAGTTTGTATTGGAGCTGCAACGAACATTGATTGAGATCAAAGGTTGTAGAGAAAATGACCATCATGAGATTGGTAATTGAGCTTTTCCAGTGCAGGCTACATATATGACAGGACCTCATCTGTATCTCATCTGCCAGCACACTAATCTGTTCAAATCACAGATATGTTCCCCCATCTGTTGCTGTTCCTATGAAAAAAAAAGTGTCAAAATGGCCCCAAAAAGTCTAGAATCCAGGTCAAATTAAATCCAGAAAATCTAAATCTAATACAGCATTTTATTGTGGGCCATTGTTATTATTATTATTATGAAAACCTATTTATTTAAATAAGTATGACTAATAATCAGCTAGTAATAATAAATAAGTACATATTTATACATTATAATACAGTAGTTTTTATTTATATATTTATTTATAAAATAATTAAACTAAGTAAATAATAAATAAAATAATGCAAAGTTATTATTATTATCACTCAAGGACTCTTCTTAGAGTCTTCTTGACAAAATACACATTATACGCCCTCCTCCACTGTCCTCAGTCAAGCTTAACCTTCAAGTTTGTATTGGAGCTGCAACGAACATTGATTGAGATCAAAGGTTGTAGAGAAAATGACCATCATGAGATTGGTAATTGGGCTTTTCCAGTGCAGGCTACATATATGACAGGACCTCATCTGTATCTCATGTGCCAGCACACTAATCTGTTCAAATCACAGATATGTTCCCCCATCTGTTGCTGTTCCTATGAAAAAAAAAGTGTCAAAATGGCCCCAAAAAGTCTAGAATCCAGGTCAAATTAAATCCAGAAAATCTAAATCTAATACAGCATTTTATTGTGGGCCATTGTTATTATTATTATTATTATGAAAACCTATTTATTTAAATAAGTATGACTAATAATCAGCTAGTAATAATAAATAAGTACATATTTATACATTATAATACAGTAGTTTTTATTTATATATTTATTTATAAAATAATTAAACTAAGTAAATAATAAATAAAATAATGCAAAGTTATTATTATTATTAACATTAAAATAATTAATTTATAATTAAAATAATTAATTTACAAAAAGTACAATTAATAATAATAAATAAATGACATTTCATTAAAAAATCACTATTTATGAAAACAATTCTAATAAATATTGTAGTGTAATGCAAAATCTTTTCTTATTTTTATTATTATAAAAATAATCTTATTTTAATTTAGTAATAATAAATACTAAAGTATAAGTATATAAGTATATTCTATAAGTAAGTAATAGAAATCATTAGTTATAATATTTATTTATTAAAATAATTATAAATAATCAAATAATACATAAATAACAAATATTTATTCATTATAATCATTCATTTAAGAAAAAAAAAAGAAATCATAAACTGATTGCCTGATTGTAACACTCTTGATTGAACCCACAGGACTCCGCTCAGGAAGCCGTCATCACCAGAGACATCCATCGCACCTTTCCTGCTCACGACTACTTCAAAGACTCAGGCGGCGATGGCCAAGACTCTCTCTACAAGATCTGCAAGGTGAGGTGAAAGCTGCTCATCCTGCAGGCATGACTCACTCCTGTCGTCTGGTAACATGCATCACGACACTGCTGCAACATCTCTATCCACTGACCTTTTGTTTTGCCGTAATACAAACGGCCTTGATAGATACAGGTATCCAACCACATGCTGTACTCGCCTCCCTGTGTCCTGCGTCTGTGAAAATGAGAACTCGTACACTCTGCTAGTTAAACAGTTACGCATCATGCATCCGTTATTATATTTAGAAACAAAGCTAGAGTAATAGATTATGCAGTTATCCAGCAGGCAATTATCCAGTTAAGCACACATCTATCTCTATATAATTAAACAGATGTTTCTGGCTGTAAAATCCGAATGAATGAGCCACATAAAACAAAGCAGTCTTAAAATACACGCACCTTTGACCAGAAATCAGTTGAATTCAGTATTAGTGCACCGTTATGTTGCTTGACCATTTTAATTCATAAATCAACTTTATTGCTTGGCAAAGTAATACATTTTAATACTTTTTAAATATATAATAATAATATAATATATAAAAATACATTTTATAAAAATCTTACAATATACATTTTGATTATAATTGTAAAAATTGTATATTCAATTTCATATTATAGAAAAACGGGGCAAAAGCATTGAGTGGATGAGAAAAGTGGTGCGGTGGTCCTGTTCTCTGTTAAATCTCTTTTGTGAGGAGTCTTGATAGGTTCTCCATCAGCTGATTGGCACCGACAAATTAAAAGCCTCCTAAATTGTGCAAAAGACCTTCAATCCAGCTAATCCTGGAGACAAACCCCCTCAGCTCGGAGTGGCATATGTTGCCATGAACGTTTATCAGTGTTTCCAGTCATTTATGACGAAGCTTGTGATTTAAAGACAACATGAAGCTGCATTCACAACACATGTAACTTTAAATTGTGACGTGTTTATTCATTTGAAAATGTTTAGTAAGGCTGTATTTATACATCGAACATGCTTTATTTCTCTATAAATAAATTTTTTTTTTCTGTAAGTAACTTTATATATAAAACATTTCTCTATAATTTTATTATTTTTGATTAAGTAAAAAAAAAATGGTTCAGAAACAGAGAAGTATCATTACGTTCTCATAAACAAAAAATATTTAATCATTTTTTCCTTGACTTTGGTACTCAATATCTGAACTGATGTTTTTTTCCACAGGCTTATTCTGTGTATGATGAAGAGATTGGATATTGCCAAGGTCAATCATTTTTGGCAGCCGTATTACTTTTACATGTAAGTATTTTGCATGACCAGCACTGTTTCATCTAGGGATTCACTGAATGTTCGGCAACCGAAATTATTCGGCCGAAAATAGCAAAAAAATAAAATCGAATAAGCGAAAAGGCCGAATAATATGTACCGAACAATGACTAAGGCGATCAAAACAAATATCGACGAATGGGACGAGACCTGGTTGAGCTGCACTAGAGAAGGCAACGAGTGTTATCACTATGTCGGAGACTCGCTAGCTTTCCCAAGGCAGGCGAACTTAGAGTGGTTCCAATCATCCGGGTTTAAATCGCGCTCATATTGATTTGATTTGATTTTGACGCAATATTTACACTGAAGCTGGTAGGCGACTATGGTAAGGGGCATATTGTGCTTTGTTGGTATAATGTCTGCTAGAATGTTAAAAAAATGTTCAGTGTTAAGTAAATATTTTTAAATTATTGTTTTGTAATTTATTTTTTTATTTGAAAAGCAGGACAAAACAGTAAAAAGCACATTTTGGCTATTTAATTTATGCAATGGTGAAAAAAAATGGCAAAATAGGTCTACATGGGGGGAAAAATGCGAAAAACCGTATTCGGCCTTCGGCCCAGTGTTTAATTTTGTTCGGCTTCGACCAAGAATTTTCATTTCGGTGCATCCCTAGTTTCATCCATGTTGCCTGTGTAACCCCCACCCCTAGCGTCAGTCGCTATCGCGCCTCTTGAGATCAGGGGAGTGAGGTTTACCTGCACAGCACCTACCAGCTGGCCTCCGTTACACTTGCACAGATAAGTATTTTAAATACACTAATAAAGCCAAGTAAGTCTATGACAAGTTTAAGTATTAAACTGCACTATACATCCATGTTAGAGACGTGAATGTTAGCTCAAATCATGTAGCTTTGTTTTATTAATGATTTTATTATTTTATTTGAATGTAGTTTTATTCATTTATTATTCTTTTTATTTCATTTTGAGACACTAACCCAAAAATACAAAGTTACATGAATGCAGGTTTTCACGTTTGTGTGAAATTTGTGAATTTATACTGCAAAAGAGGTACATGTTACTTTCTCTTAGCAGGCATTATGTAAACATCCTTTTAGGTCGGTTTTATCTTTAAGCTCAACTGCTGTGCTGGTAAATCCGCAATTTAAAGAGTTTTTGAGAGAGCTTGCTAACTAAATAATAAACACTAATAAAAGTGTAAATAGAAACCTACCTCATTGTGCCTTATCTTTGACTTTTTGAGGCTTGTTATTGAGCTAATAGTAGGTGGAGAGAAACAGGAAGCGAGGGAAGGACATTGATGAAACTGTTAATTCCATATTTAATTAAAGCGAGGGCTGAATAAGATGGCGTTTTTTGTTTTTCTGCAATGCCAGCCCTTATGGGGCTTGATATTAGAGCGCGTTTGGGGATTTCTATAATGTAGTGCAAGTGTCTTCCTCGTGGCCTTGCCCAGGAAGCTCAGGAGCTGTCAGGAATATTAATGACGGAGCCCATCTACCTGCTGGAGCCCATTGAACTCGGGACACACATGCTGTCTGCGTGATTTAATACCCAGCTCTGTCTGTCTCGCTCTCCGTCTCAGAAACACAAACAAACTCTGATAGCATCACTGTAGACTGCCACAGACAGGTAGACGGACAGTTGACTCATCTAAACATCATGGGTTGGTTGTGTTTATTGAGCCCTATTTATGCAGAAAGCATCTGCATCTGAAATATCATGGCAATATCTCTCGCTTTTTCTCTTTAGATGCCTGAGGAGCAAGCTTTCTGCGTGCTGGTGAAGATCATGTACAACTACGGTCTTCGAGAGCTCTACAAAAACAACTTTGAAGATCTTCACTGCAAGTTCTACCAGCTGGAGCGTCTGCTGCAGGTTTGGCTTTTGAGTGTTTGTTAAAGGAATAGTTCACCAAAAAGTGAAAATCTGCTGAAAATGTACTCACCCTCAGGCTATCCAAGATGTAGACGAGTTTGTTCTTTATCAGAACAGCTTTGTAGAAATTTAGCATTACATCACTTGCTCACCAATGCATCCTCTGCAGTGAATGGGTGCCGTCAGAATGAGAGTCCAAACAGCTGATAGAAACATCACAATAATCCACAAGTAATCCACATCACTCCAGTTTATCAATTAATGTCTTGTGAAGTGAAAAGCTGTGTGTTTGTTATAAACAAATCCATCAATAAGATTTTTTTATCTCAAACTGTTGCTTCTGGCTAAAATATGAGTCCTCTATCCATAATATTGCTTTCTCCAGTGAAAAAGACTAATTTTTGTGAGCGGTCGCACTGGCGCGACCATCGCGTTGTTCAACTCATAAGCGCTGCCATTTCTGTTGCATATGAGAAACATCAAACGGCAAACAAAGCTAAAAGCATAACGAAACCGCGCTACTCGTTTGAACTGCGCAGCGCTTCGAGTGTAGAGCCTGGTTTATACTCGCCATGTCAGCATGAGCACGAAGGTGCGCGCGGCAAAAATGACACGTAACGATGGATGGTTTTCAAGCTAAAGTAAAGTAAAAGACAGCTTATCTTTGCTGTTTACCTCACGTTACGTTATGGAGGCTCTCTTTTATTTTTTTAGGCTATCTGATTCCTCAGTGTTTACTAAACATTCTGTAATTTATTAGTCGGTATATAATACAGCATGTGGTGTATGCCATGCCTCATCTTATTCGTGTTTGTTAATAAATGTTTTTTAAGCTAGTTTGTCATTCTATCTTACTGTTTTATTGTTGTTGTGCTTTTAATTAAGAATAACAATGAATCCATCTTTCGTTTTATTCTTAAAAAGTGAAAGGTGTGTAGATGTATGTAAGCAAAACACAATTATCTTTTGTGTGACAACACAATTTATCTTTTAAAATGTGACAACAATATCGCGAATTCAAAAGTGAAAGTGCATGAAGCCTGGCTTATAACATAGCAAAAAAGGAACTCCAGTTCACAAAATTAAAATCACAAATAATACTACTGATGAAAAAGAACGGGTTGAATGTTAATCACTTTCGTTTCCATATAACTATAAACTATGATAAAAGTTCATCAGCATGCATTGATTAATCCCATGTTGTAGCGCAAAAAGAAAAAAAAAATTATTGCGACCAAATCATGTGTTCGTGCGACCAACTGAGAAAGTTAGTCGCAAAAGAGCGACCAGTGGGAAGAATGAGTCTGGAGCCCTGACAGGGGATGGACTTTTTCACTGGAGGAAGCGTTGTTATGGATTATGAACTGGCATTTTGGCCAGAAGCGATGGTTTAAAGTTAAAGCGCTTTCATGATGGATTTGTTTCTTATAAATATGCGGATTTTCACTTCATACAGCAATTGATGGACTGGAGTGTTGTGGATTACTTGTGGATTATTGTGATGTTTTTATCAGCTGTTTGAGCTCTCATTCTGGCGGCACCCATTCACTGCAAATGATCCACTGGTGAGCAAGTGATGTAATGCTACATTTCTCCAAATCTGTTACCTTGAAGAAACAAACTCGTCTAGATTTTGGATGGTTAGTAAATTACATTTTTTTTGGTAAACTATTTCTTTAAGAGATTGCATCGCACACAGTCTTGTACACCCCTTGTCAGGCCGTACTTGTGCATCTCAAGTGTAAGCCGTGGCTCTCTAAGCTATTAGACCTAATGCGCTGGAAAATGGGTTTTAATTTTGTGGTGAAATGCAATTAGGCCTGAAGTAGCCCTCTTTCAGCGCTAAACCCAATCCGGTTAGTATTGACTAGCTCTGCTACTACAAGAGTGTTAGCATCGATCACGGACAACGTGCCATACGGCCAGGGCTGGATTGGTAATCGGGCATACCGGGCATTTTCCCGGGTGGGCCG